ATTTCACAAATTTTAGGTACACATCTTCCATTTTCCTCTATCTTGTTGTCTCCTGGACTTATATCTGGAGGTCTGATGTTGCATCTAGCTTCCGCATCTTGTTACTTTCTATTTCAAAAATTTTTATTTTGTTTTCTGTGTTGATTCTTGACATTTTTATTGCAGATAGCTATATCACTAGTTCCAAATCCTTTCTAGGAAAAAACTGTTCCTCAGGGATGTCTCCTTTGTGTAAGAGGTTCTTGGCTTGTGTCTGTTGCAAATTATACCTTTCCAGTTAACTAAGCATGAGATGTGGGTATTTATTTTCCTCAGTCCTCAGTTCTTTGGTGCTGGGCTGCTGTGAGGTTATAATCCCAGAGCTTCCCATCATTGTTACCAAATGGAGAACAACTAATTACAACAGATATGACATTCTAGCTAAAGTCATATAATTAGTAATAACAGTAGCATGAAACAGAGTTTAGAAGGAGAAAAACTGCAGTACTATTAATTTTTTATCTTAAGTCATGGGAGCAAAATCTGCAATTATATAACAACCTGTCATAAATTGGGAGCTTGTATGCAAACTGGTTCACTTTGGTGGAGCGGTTTCACCCTGCGGTGGGGAGAGTGGATAAAACGAAGATAACTCAAAAGAAAGTAGAAGCAAGGCCGGAGGACGAAGGATGATCATGACAACCTTGGGAAGCTGGGGGAGAGGCAGAAGAAAAAGAATAAGGGGTCAGCAAGGGACGGTCTGAGCCTGGCCCGCGGGCTTGGGCAGGGGATTAGCTTCTGTGGCTCAGGTTTTCCCTGTCATTTAGAAAAGAGAAAAAAGATATGAAATAAGAACAGAGAAGGGGGCCTGGCCTTAGCTCAGTTGTTTAAGTGGCTGCTTCCACAAAGCTGTCAGCCTCAGGTTGCTGTAGTTCGATCCCCACAACACTCCAGCCAGCCAAACCACCCCTGAGGGCATTTGGAGCAAAAAAAACCCCCTTATTCCAAGAACAGAGAAGCGAGAAAAAAGAAAGGAAAGCAGAGAGAGCAGAGGCAGATCCACCCTCTTGCTTCTATTTGGTGCGGTGCGTCTTCATCCCCAAGCAGAATGTTGGCTCTCCTAATTTGCCGCAGTTGGCTCCTACTGTCATTGCTGCTTCAGACTTTTCCAGGCTGCTGGTCCTGTCTGTCCACTCCGCGCACCCTCGCTGGGGCCTTATTGTGTCACTGGGGTTCCCTCTGGTCTCTTGGCCTTCCTAAGTGGTTCGCCTGCCTTGCCTATTCAGTGCTTCCATTGCGGAAAACGTACACTTTTCTACTTTCCCATTTCACGTACAAATTATCTAGGATTATCAAAGATCTTTTCTTCTCTAGAACAGAAATAACTGATTAACTAAGGATTGGCTGTTTAGCAATGAGTGTTCAAAATAACTTCAGATAAAGGAATGATTTCTACTAGATACAAAATTAACATGGATTATCTCCATGGAAGATTCCTGCAAAGTGTCACCCTACTATGAAGATAACAATACGCAATGGATTAATTATTGTAACTGTCCTACTAATCTGTTCGGAAACTGTTTCATTGAAATTTTATCTTTTTTTCTCATTAAAATGAATAAAAAAGAATTAAGCTTTGTAGCTGAAGGGGCATTAAAGTTAGCATCAGGAAATACAATTTTGATATTATGAAAACTCCAAAAAGAATAATTAATGCTTGAATAACTGACTTTATAATAAATCTAAATGACTGGGGGAGGAAAAAGAGAATGCAGCAGAGTTGTGAAGCTGAAACAATGGTGGAAACACTCATTGGCGGACAGTGTGAAGCACAAATGGCAGCTCAGGACTGAAAGAAGCAGCCATGCAGATGCAGGGCGCTCTTTCATTGTGGTTGTTTTCCTGTTTCCCGTAATTTGCTGATGTGAATCAGAAAAGGGTTAGCAGCAGTGTAGCCCAGGCTGTGGACCACAGCACAGTGACACTGCCATGCAACTGGGGTGGGAGCAAGAAACAAGGGGGGCAACGTTCCTCGGTTGTCCTCCACGGGGTGAGAATATGCACAGATTACAAAGCTGTCATCCCAGGGAGGTGCTTTGGAGGCCCTTCTGAGCTGAATCGGGTCTTACAAAATTCACATATGGAAGTATATCCTCCAATGTCTTGAACCATGGCCTTTTTGGGAATGAGGATCATTGTAGATGTAATTTGTTGGAGGACAGCTCCTAACCTGATATGATCTGTGTCCTTGTTAACAGAGGAAATCTGGACAGAGGCACCTGCAGAGAGAGGATGTGGAGATGAAGGTGAGGAGGAACGCGCTCTTCTACAGCCCAAGGAACGGTGCTCCTCGCAGCAAGGCGCAGCAGCTGGGGGAGCAGAGGAGTGATCTTGCTTGTAGCTCTCGGAAGGAACCGTTCTCCTGACACCTTCACCACCAGGACTAAAGTACAGCACTTGGTTAAGCCACTCACCTTGTTTTATCTTGCTAAAAAAGCCACTCTAACAAAGGCTGACGTTGCCTAGTAGAAGTAGAAAATGGAAGACATGAGAAAAATGTGACAGTGGGCGGAAGTTCAGTGTCGCAGGGCGTGGTCCTTTCATCACCTGGCAGGAGGGCAAATGGGTGGAGATTTTCCTCTCCTAGCGTAGATTACCTAGGCAAACAGCTCCTACTTCCAGAGGAAAGGGAGTCTGCAGGGAAAAATATGAATCATCTGATCGCTTTACCAATAGGAAAAACCCACAAGCAAGAAACAAGAATAAAAAAGAAACAGAAATAATCACTGCCAGATGAAGAAGGAATGCAACAAAAATAGAATTTGAATGGATGTAGTACATACGTCCAAAGGGCAGTCAAGAAAATGTATAATTCAAGGCCAGCGCAAGCATTTATAAACAGAAATTAGCTTGAAAATTAGGAAATAAGATGCTTAATGTAAGAGAGAACCCAATGGATGAGTTAGAAGAATCTATTAAGCAAAAAGAGAATAGAGAACTTTAAGGTCCTTTTATGTTTTTAGAGAACACTAACTTTAAGAAATTCACAAAGCATAGAGAAAAATAATCACAACAATAGGAGTTAGCAATTAAAATAAGTACTTTAGAAATGAAATGGATAACTTTCAAACATTTGAAGAAAATATATTTTTTTTAATTGTATTTTAGGGAAAGGTCTACAGGGTGTTCAGGGTCCCATTACCAGACCGGACTCATAGTGATCCATGTGTTTATAGCCTCCCAAGCGCTGGGATTACAGGTGTGCACCACCATGTCCAGTCTCAACTGCCAGCTCAGCGCGCCCTGGAGATCGGGCCGGCACAGCAGGCCTGGGGATCGAACCCTCAGCGCCTGCTTGCAGGTGCTTTAATCCACTGAGCTATTTGGCTGACCTGAGAAAACTTGATAGCAGATAAATAAAATATTTATAATTGAGTAACATTTTATTTGAACACAAATAACATTCACAAAAATTAACTAGGTATTACCCAAATCAGTGATTTAAAGCATGATAGTAATATAATTAACCAACTAAAAATCTGATAAGTTGGAACATATTAACACTTAATGCTTTTAGAAAACCAGCGCTAGTAGGATCCTAACCTTGGTGAAGGACACATACTTTGCACACCTAAATCCTATAGCAAAATTATCTTTCATGGAGAAATCTTTGATCATTTTAATCAGGATCAAGGAAAAAAATGTAACACTAAGTCAGTGCTACTGTGAGCCTGATTTTGGAGAGCTTGGGTGCTACTGTAAGTAAACAAAAGAAAAAGAAAGAAAGGCTGCCAAAGCAAGCAGGCGCAGGGGCTGGGGGTTTGATGCCTGGGCCTGCTGGGCCAGCCTCTCCCTCGGGGCACGCTGAAAGGGCAACTGAGACTGGGCATAGCGGTGAGCTCCTGTAATTCCAGCTCTTGGGAGGCTGT